TCGGGAGGTGTCTGGGCATGAAACGCTCGGCTGGTGGGTGGTGGCCAAGGCCGGGCTAAGAGGGGCTCGCAAGTTTCAGGATTCACGGTTTTAGGCTTTAGGGGTTTAGGGTTGAGGGTTTGATTCGGGTTTAGGGGTTTAGGGGTTCAGGGTTGAGGCTTGAATTCGGGTTTAGGGGCTTAGGGCTTTAAGGTTTAAGCCTCCCCAGTACATTAAGAAGCCCCACACAGCCCCGAACCCGCTAAACTGCAGACTCAACTGACTCAACCCTAAACCCTAGAACACTCTGACTGAATAGCATGAATACACACCACTATTTAAACGTCATTTAAACGTCTCGTGGCGCCTCCGAAAGACCTTGATTAAACCCCTCAAAAAAACGCAGCGACAAAGAACCCAACTGCGACATAGAACAGCAACTCCAAGACACTGTACTAAAGCCACAACCCCACAGACCCTAAGCCGACAAACGTTAACGCCCAAAGCCATGAGAAAAGAAAAGCAAAAGTACTATAGAAGCCAAAAAAGTTACCATTAGTTACCAATATTTATTCCTTAGGGTTCCTTCTTATAACTATAGTAGAAACGGAGCCCAAAACCCTATTCTAATTATTAAGGCCCCTACATCACGAAAAGGGTAGTTCTCTAAATTAGGTTCTCTTTTGGTTTTGGGGCGACCTAAAAAGGGACCCCAATTTAGAGAACCACCCAAAAAGATGAGTAGGATTATTATTATTGCTATTATTATTGTTATTATTATTATTATCATAATTATGATTATATTGTTATTATTGTTATTATTAAGGCCCCTAATTACATCACGAGACGATGTCCAGGACTCTTCGGACCTCGAAGAGGCCCGGGCCCTGGAGCTCTTGGCCAAAGCCGCGCTGGACAAGCGCGGGCACCAGAAGGCGGCGCAGAGACGGTTTCGGGTTTTGGGTGCAGGGTTTAGGGGTTTAGGGGTTTAGGATTTAGATGTTTAGGGGTTTAGGGGTTTAGGATTTAGGGTTTAGGGATTCGGATTTGGGGTGTAGGGGTTGGCTTTATAGGTTCAGGGCGTAGATTTTTCGGGATTAGGGTGTAGCGGTTAGGGTTTAGGGTTAGGGTTCGGTATTCAGGATGTGGGGTTCAGGGTGCAGCGGGGGTTCTTTAGAGAGCCTGTGAACTTTATACGAAGAGGCTCTGAATGACGGGGGTTCTGAACAGGGTTTCATATGGGTCGTGTACGGCTGGAGGGTTTAGGGGTGTCGGGGTTGAGGGCAGTTTAGGATAGTTGGGGTTGAAGAGGTTGCGGGGTTCAGGTTTGACACAGTTTTTGTGGGTGACGTAGAACAGCACGATGGTATGGCAGCTGGCTGGCTAGCACTGCATGGTGCACCCTTTTTGAGCGCCTAAGGGTCATAGTTTATTTGCAGGGTCGAGGGACTTCGGAAGTGGGTACTAAGCAGAGTTGTAGGACCCTATTGGGGATCCTAGTTGGGGTTATGACACTTATAACCTATATCTCTCTCAAACAGAAATAACCGACCGCTTCAATCAGGCTCCAAGGAGGAACCCTAGTGATGCTCTGCTTTCTAGGGTCCAGGGAACCCGGAAAACCACGAAGCATGAGCCGAAAACCCAAGACCCAAGACTTGTCATCCCCGAAAAGCAAGGGTAGATCTTCTCGTTGCAGTAAACTCTACTGGTTACCGAGTTGGGATGTTTGCTAGTTTCCTTTGTTGTGAAGTACAGAACCTTTACGAAAAATCAGTTTTGGGGGGCTGATGAAATTGACAGTTGAGTTTAGCTAACGATATGAAGAAGTCTTTCCCCAAGATGTGTGGCTCAGTGTTTGGTTTTTGTCGGGAAACTTCTTCCAACAACTGATGCCTTGAGATTTTCAGTACCCTGAACCCTAAACTCCACGTTTAAGAACCTAGTATGGGCGCCATAGTAGGTTCCCTATTGTAAATATAGTATACGATACCCCAAAACCCTAAGGGCTTCAGGTTGGATTCCACCCTAAACCCCTGAAGTTCACCCTAAACCCTAAACCCTAAACCGAGCCCTGAAGTTCACAGGTCCTCCAGATTTTGGAATGGATCGGCTGGCGCCTTCGTGAGGAGGCGAAGATCGACCCGCGCGGTGTCGCTGGGCTGTGGACTTTAGTATTTAGGGGTTACGGTTTAGGGTTTAGGGGCTTAAGGGGTTTAGGGGTTGAGGGGTTTAGGGGTTTAGGGCTTCAGGGGTTCAGGTAGGGGTTTGGGGGTAGGGGTTCTGGGTTTAGGGCTTTAGGGCTTTAAGGTTTGGGCTTTAGGGGTTTAGGGGTGTAGGGGTTTTGGGTTACTTGGAGGGTCGGGGGACTTAGTAAGTAGCTAGTAAGTAGAGTTAGTACCCGCTTCAGGGATCCTAATATACAGGGGTCATGCTACTGATAACTCTATAAAGTTCCTTCTTACTAAGTCCTCCGATCCTGAGGGTACCCCAGCGCTGATCCTGCCAATAGTCGAATGGGCACTTTGTTGTTTTGACAACGATGATACTTAATGATCCCTACAAGGAAGAAGGATCCCTCATGGAAGGTCTTTGTTCATGATGGTAAAGGTGTGGTGTAGGTCTAGTCAAGCCTCGAACCGCTCCGAGTTCCAAAGCAGTAGCATATATCCCTAAACTCCCCCTAAACCCTAAACCCTAAACCCTAAACCCCTGAACCGCTAGACCCCTAAACCCTAAACCCATAAACCGCTAAACCCTAAACTCACCGTCATCCCAAAAACCATTCGCCACATCCCCGAGAACTGTGAAACCCCAAGCAACCCCGAAACCGACCAACCCTAAACTTCTACGTCTTCTCGGTCTCAGGATACCTGAGCAGAGCTGCCGAGACAAGCGGTGATCATCCTTTGAAACGAGTGCTTGCAGCTGTGAGATGTGGGGCTCCTGGCCCTACAGTTGATGACATGAATCCTACAATTCCCTGTAATAATAGTAATGATGATAATAATAGTGATAATTATAATGATAATGGTAATAATAACTATTCTTCTGGAAATAATAGTGAGAAGAAGAAATATACCATAATTCCCATAGTTTAGGGTCCTTAAGGTAATGCAGGATCTATATCATCAACAGTATCCCAGTCTAGATCAGGCACTCTTAGGAGACTCCGGGGATGTAAGCGGTGAAGCCTCGGGGACTTGGATCTGTTGAAGAAGGCCTCAACAAGCAAAGGTCGCTATATCCTAAGGACCAGATGTTAAAGCCTCTGTGTGTGTATGTATATACATATATATATATAGATATGTCTCTGTGTGTGTCTACAGAGTCTACATTTTACATACATGCGCACACAGGGATGTTAGCCCTGCTACTTGAAGATGCAGAGGACTTGGTAAGTCGGCTGAAGTAGAGCTGCAGCCCAAGCATAGCCGGCTTGCGAAGCATTGTACCCTAGACTCTAAACTCCAAACCCTCGTAGCCTCACCCCAGACTTCTGTCTAATCGGGCGAAATCCCTCGAGCTCTTAATTCAGGGACTCTTGCGCATGCATTCACGGACCTTATAGGGCCTGGCTACAGTGGGACATAGGGTTGTCGACGGAGCATCTCCGAGCCGCTCTTAGGATCTCCATAAAGGAACCATGTAGATTGGGTGTCTTCGTTGCGATGGCACTAGCTCGTGTCAGCAACTGGACCAGGGTTCCGGGTGTTGGCAGAAGGTTTTCGCGGCTTTGGCTTCTATTGCAGTTCGTGAGGGCTAGAGGGACTCTGCTATGCAGAACGAAAGCGTCGTATCATAGAAGCAAGGTAAGTAGAACTCCATGGGTAGCCTTTTTGTCTGCTTGTTCGGTGGGTCGGCTGTAACCGCGAACCTGAAAACATGTACTCGAGTCTCATATTCCCGATCCCCAGACTGCAAAGAGCAAGCGGCAACTTCAGAATCCAAGATCCCACCTTGGGGTCAATGGACTTCGCAAGTCCGATGAATAGTGGGTTGCTGTTATAGGAACGTAAGTTGAGTTACCATAATGGGGATATATAGTAAATAATAGGGTTTCCTTGTTCTAGTAACTTCTGTTTAAGTTCCTTCGCAGCAACCCAGAACATGGGGCCTCCGGCCTCAAGCTCAAGGCCTTGTACCCTAGACTCAAACCGAGAGTGTCCATGAGTTGAGGGATTTTGGCATACAGTAAACCTCCAAAAGTTGGAAACCAGATTAGGGTCAAGTGCTCTGACTCCCTATACATTACTCTTTAGGATGGAGGCTATTGGCTTTCCAACTTTTGGGCTTCGACTGTACTCTGCCAGATCGTGCAACTCTCCTTTGTAAGTAAGCTTATAGGTAAGATAGTCATAGCTCTAGCTGCAACCTGCCATGAATTCCGCGGTTCCTCCAAGTAATCCGATATCACGCGTTTGTCAAGGGCTTACAGGTGCTAGGCTTGGGTTCGGGACAACTAAGCAACGGTTGACTAGGCTCGAGCGCTCGCCGGTGAAAGGAGATAGCTTTGCACCCTCCCTTGCGAAGATCATGTTCCGCGTTGCGAGCATCGCAGCCGCCGTCTGCCTGGCCCTTCACGGTGCTGGCTGCTTCCTCCTCCCCAGCCAGCTGGTGAAATGCGCAGCTCACAAAGAGTTGCGCGCGGCGGCGGGGCAGCCAAGTACCTAGGCAGGCCATTCACATCGTTTTTTTGTTTATGGACCCTTCTTTATTGAGAGGACCTTGTTTCCAAAGATCTGTCCGAGTGTGAGTCAGTCTAAGGCCCGAAAGCCTTGAAACTCCAAACTTCCTAAACCCTGAACCTCTGAATCCTGAACCCAGACATCTGGGAGGATCCAAAAAGTAGAGCCCTTCTAAGTCTAAAGGGGGTTCCGAAAAAGTACCCTTACTGCGGTTGATGATATAAATCCTGCATTGCCCATAAAAAGGAATATACCATAATTCCCATAGTTTAGGGTCCTTATAAGGAAATGTTTAAGGATTTATATCAGCCCTAAACCCTAAACCCTAAAAGTATGGGTTCCCCCAAAGCTTGCTTGGGGGTCTCAGGCACCCTCACGGGCACCTTCGAGCCTTTTCCCTGGAGTCCGCTGGCTGTCGGCGCAGCGCTTGGGCTGCTGATCCTTAGAAGCTGCGTTGGGAAGCTTTTAAATTTAAGGGTTTAGGGTTTAGGGTATTATTATTTTTTTGTGGGAGAATGAAACCCTCCTGAACGCTGAAAGTTTTAAGCTTTCTCAGATGATGAATCCCTCCCCAACGCTGAAAGTTCATCATATTTTTTTGGGGGAATGAAACCCACTTTAACGCTGAAGGTTTACACCTTCTTGTGGAACCCTCTTCAACACTGAAGCCCTATAAACCCTAAACCCTCAATCGTCCCTAAGCCCTAAACCGTAAAACCAAACCAAATCCTAAACCCTAAACCCTAAACCAAACCCGAAGCCCTAAACCCTAAACCCTAAACCAAACCCTCCATCGTTTTTGGGTCCTCTGGCCTGGGCAACTCAGGATCTCCGTTGCCACGGCAACACCGGCCCTTGCCACGGATCTGGCGACTTCGCTCTCCACTTACATACGAGTTTTAATCAATTCTAAACCCTAAACCCTAAACCCTATGCACATAAAAAAACCTAAGCCCTGAACCCTAACTCTAAACCCTACACCCCCTAAATACTTAGGTACTTGGGGTTTAGGGCTTGGGGTTTAGGGTCTCGTGGCTCTGGCCCAGATACGTTTTTTTTGCATTACTGAAATGACTAAAGTCATACAGAGGTCTTAATACGCAGAAGGGCTTTCTGTTTCTTTTGGAGGGGCTTGTATAGTGTAGTAATAACTGTAGTAAGGAACGCTATGGACTAGTGTTAGTCAAAGTTGGTATGTTCCTCAAGTATCATGTTTCATGGTTATTTTAATATCAACCCCTGAGACTTTAGAAGAACAGGCTACATGTTTTCATTGTGGGTCGAAGGAGCGTGCAGGTGACAAAGCAACCTTCAGTGGAACAACGTTGGTTGGGTTCTTTGCGAATTAACACTTCTGTTAAACGCAGTTTGGAAATTCAACCAGACTTCTCCTGCTGTTCTGAAGTTTTACCCTTCTGCTTTTCCTGACAAAAAATCCCTAAACCCCAACCCTAAACCCTAAACGCAAAAGAACCTGAGCATTTGGGGCAGTAAGGAGAAGAGCCAGGCATCCTTCCAGGCCAACTGCACTGCCTGCCATGTCGGCGGTTTGCTAGGCTTGCAGAAGAAGGAATCCCTCGTCGAATACCGAAAGTACGACGTCGAGGCCATCATCCCTAAACTTTAAGCCGTAACTCAAAAACCCTAAAGCCTAGACCCTGAAGCCTAAAGCCTAAACCCCAGACCCTACAGCCTAAATCCTAAACCCTAGACCCCTAACCCTGAACCAGGCCATCATCACCCGGGTGTCCGACGACAGGGGTACAACTCCGGCGGTCCGGGAGAAGATGCGGCCCGACAACTTCGAGGACGTGGCGAACTATGTCTACAGCAAAGCTGACAAGTGGTGAGCTGCTTGAGGCACTGAACACAAAGTGCTAATCCTTTTAATCACAATTACTATTTCGCATTGTTTTCCGTAGTTGCATGCTCAACTTTTCCCGGCGCCGTTCAAGAGAGACTGGCGACCAGCCCAATTCGCGGCATGTTCCCTAGTTGAATGCTGCGGGTTTTCGCAGTGGTCCTAGAGGAGTCCTAGAGCAGTCTCTTCTATGTCCAGCCCAAGAGGGTATGCGAACCTCGCTTGGCCTATCAGGATGCACGACGCTCGATCGACTGCTACCGTAGTTGAAAAAAGTTACTTCAGAGTCTGTGATTATTCGCATTTGTTAACTACTCTTTTGCTAGCTGTTACTGGCACAAGATGTATGCTACAATGATACTGGTCGAGTTGAACTGCTGCTGCTGCTGCTGGTCCTGCCCCTATTATTCTTATTACTACTACTACGACGACTACTACTGCTACTACTCCTCCTACTCCTCCTCCTCCTCCTACTACTACTACTACTACTACTACTACTACGTGGTACTACTACTACGTGGTACTACTACTAC